TCTTGAGGGGTAAACTGGAGGCAAAACTGGTGAGGCCTCCCTGGTGACAATCTTTGTTTTTAATCAATAGCCAGGTTTTGGTGGAAAAACGAGCCATGGTGAGAACTAAACCATGAAAAGGAGAGGGTCTGGTGTGAATGAGCTTTGTCCACCTGAGAAATGCCCAAGGGAGAACTGCTGGGGGAAGGGATGTGCAAGGTCCTCTGAGGCAGGGGCAGGAGAGGGAGAACTAAAGACTGATCCTGCAGATGGGGACATGGAAAATGTCCCCTGCTGGGCAGAGTCCCAGTCAGACTCCAATGCTTCCAGGGTGACCACTCTCCTCAATGCCAAGCTCAGCTTTTCAGGGCAGTGTTACCAAATGTCACCTGAGATTTCTCCAGTCTGGAGGAATCACTTCAAAAGATAACGGAGAAAGCAATAAAGCCTATCAAGCCCACATGAAATGATTAGTTGTTGAGCTTTTAAAACCACTCACGAGCTGTTTAATGTAATTGCGATAGATTTGGAAAAAAAAAACCTGCTCCACAGCCCAAATCTCCACCAGCCACTCCCTCAGTGGTGCACTGGTTTCACCAGCGCTGATGTCCCACTGGTGATTTCCCTCCCTGAGCAGCCCTGTCAGTGTGTGCGTGGGTTTGGATTGTTTTGGGGGACACACAGATGAGCCCTTGGGCAATGTGCATCATTCTTATATAAATTCTGATCTACTAAGCTCCAGAGCTGCCAGATTTCAGATGTTTTTCTCAGCACCTGCTATGCAAGAGCTGCTGACTTTTTTTGCTGTGTGACTGTGTGGTGAGGGGATGCATCTCCCTTGCGACACCCAGCCCATCCTGGGGAGTGGCAAGGGGATTGTCCACATGCAAGGTCTGAATTCATTCAGTTCTGGGTAAGTAGAGCATCTGAGGGAGATGCAGTTTCCCGTGTACCCTGGAGGAGTGCTCCTTTGCCCACAAACATGATGGATTTCCATGGAGAGTAATGCAAAGAGGCATCTGGGGCAGCCCAGCCTCACCAGCCTGCCCTGCTCTGGAGCACCGCAAGCGTCAGCACCCCACTCCCACTCTGGAGAGCCTCAGGGAGCTGAGGGACCCCAGGTATCCTGTGCCAGCCACACTGGAGCATCCCACCCTCCTGTCCCCATCACAGAGCACCCTGTGCCCCCAGGACTTGTACCCCAGCCCTGCTCCACAGCACTCCGGATACCGCAGGCAGCCCGCACCGTGGGTGGCTCCAAATTGCCCAGGTCCCACTTTGGAGCACTCCGAAACATCCCCAGCACTCTGCACCTCGGTCCTGCTTCAGGGTGCCCCAGATCCCCTGGGACACCGTGCCCACCTGGCGCAGAGCTCTCCTCCACTCGGAGCACGGCTTCAGACCGGCTCGTACCTCGCACCCCGGCTGCTCCGGAGCTCCCAACATCCCCACCCCGGCTGCTCCACGCACTCCGGCTGCTCCGGAGGTCCCAATATCCCCACTCTGGCTGCTCCGGAGCTCCCAACATCCCCGCACCCCGGCTGCTCCGGAGCTCCCAACATCCCCGCACCCCGGCTGCTCCGGAGCTCCCAACATCCCCACCCCGGCTGCTCCGGAGCTCCCAACATCCCCGCTTCCCAAGGATGCAGCGATCTTGCATCCTGGCTGCGGGGGGATGGGCAGCGGTCCTGCATCCCGGCTGGGGGTTCGGCACGCACCCGCACAGCCGGGTCCCCCCGCCGGGCCCGGTTCCCCTCGCCCCCGGTACCGCGGGCTCCGTTACGAAACGCGGCCGGGGCGGGGCGGCGCGGGCGGCGGCGGCCAATGGCGGCCCGGGCAGCCTCGCCACCGGCGCCTGCCCGGGGTCCCTCCGGCGGGACGGGGCGGGACGGGCCGGCAGCCGCAGCCTCCTCCGGGCCGGCCGGGGCGGGAGCGTTGCGGGGCAATGCCGTGCCGGCACCGCCGGCTTTAGGGACAGCTCCCCCGACCGCAGCCATGAGCGGCCCCTCCAGCCCGAGCTCCCCAGCGCCCGGGGAGAGCCCGTCCGGGGAGAGCCCGTCCGGGGAGAGCCCGTCCGGGCAGCCCCTCGGGCTGGACCTGCTGCGCTGCCCCTGCTGCCGCCTGCTGCTCTGGGAGCCGGTGACCGCGTCCTGCGGTCACTCCTTCTGCAAGCCGTGTTTCGGCGGGGCCGGGCCGTCCCGCTGCCCGCTGTGCCAGGAGCGGCTGGAGCTGCTGGGCATCGCCGCGGCGAGGTGCAGCGTGGTGCTGTGCGGGATCCTGGAGCGATGCGTGCAGCCGGAGCGGCGGCTGGCCGCGCTGGCCGAGCGCGTCCGGGAGCGCCTCGCCCGCGGGGACGCGCGGGAGGCGCTGAGGATGGCGGAGAGAGGGGTCGAGCTGGGTAAGGAGCACCGGGCTGGGGGGCTGGCAGTGAGGATGGAGGGGTGCGGGCTGCGAGGGGCCAGCACAGCAGCCAGAGAGACGGGCGCGCACGGCTGGGCTGTTGCAGCAGGCGAGTACCAGTGTGAATGACAATGTAGGTCACCGTGTCCCTGCAGCTCAGTGCGCTCCGAGCCTGCACGGTCCAGAGCTGGAAGACGTGGGAAGCTGGAAGTGGTGTAAGGCAGGGCTGATGGGGATGGGAATGGGAAGGGGGAACACAACTGCCGGGCATTTCTTCCATATCCGTGGATGTCCCGGGGTGCTGGGAGCGGTGGGCTGCCCGGCAAACCGCGCTGCTCATCCCCTGCCAGGGCCGTGCTGCCTGTGTCCCATCGGCCACGTGCTTCTGGAGAGGAAAGAGCAGCAGATGCTTACGTCTTGCAGCCCGGCAGTATTTCAGGGTCAGAGGAAGAGCTCTGCCCAGGGGGTGGCCATTATGTAAAGTGGTTGGGACTTGTCCAGTCGGGGATGGACACGTCCTTCCCCCGGAGCCTGGCGAGAACACAGTCTTGGCGGAGCTCCTGTGCCAGCCCGGCCCCACCGTGCAGGTCAGCCCCTTCTGCAGCCGGCTCTGGCCAGACATTCGCCTGCAGGGCCAGGATAGGGCCCGGGGGATAGGGTTTGATCTGCTTTAATGTGTGGCTGTAAGTGGATTTCTTGGAAAGTAATACTTAAATAAAAGGGGTTATACAATGTGCCTGGAGCAGGGGGCTGGGGCGACGGAGGCAGAATTTCCTTTCTCCGCGGCGTTTCTATGACAGCGCTGAGCTCTCCTCCCGCAGCGCAGGCTCTTATTCATCGCCTCCTGCGAGACAAGTGCCAGAGGTTCAGCGTAAGCCTGGAAACGAAGGGCTGAGCGGACCGGTCGATCCTGGTGTTGGCAGCAGAAAACAGGTCCTTTTATGCAACCTCCAGAGGCATCCGTCTCTCCCTGCACTCCCTTCTTCAGAGTAAAGGCACACGCACACTTCTCTAGTACTGGAGTGTACAATTACACATTTCTTTAAAAATCCCTTGTTAGTATAAAGAGGAAACATTGCAAACTATGTTCTCGCTCTTCCCTGCACGTTCTTTTCCCCGAAAGACAAGAAAGTCTGGCTGAGGGCAACAAGGAAATTGCAGTCACAGCCTGAGCTCCAGTGAACCTGTGCTTGCTGGGGCTGCCAGGCTCAGCCACGTGGGTGGGTGCTTCCAGGATGTGTTTTCCAGCTCCTGCAGCCTGCAGCCAGCTTTCAGCTGCACAACTTTTTACAGGCTGCCTTTCACTTTGAAACAGAACCAGCGATAACTGTTTGACCCCTGGGGGTGTTTTATTTGTGGTTCAGTGTGGCGTGATAGGCCAGTCTGCAGTGCCCTGCTCAGCCCAGCCTGTAGAGCACCTCACTTTGCTTGGGTGAAAATAAACTGTCAACTTTTTATCTTCATTCTTTCTGAGTGAACAGCAGAAAAATGCACCGTAATGTGTAGCACAGGAGGCCCTCTGACATGCCTGGAGCACCGAGGCTGGCGGGTCTCTGAGGCTGCCAGCTGGCTGATGGCCCTGATGTGTAATGATATCATAGATCAAAAATAGCTGCAGCAGCAGAGAAGTTTAGAATTCATTGCCCTGTTTTACACATCTGGGGTGATTTTTTTGGCCAAATCAGGCACTTTATTGCTGGGCTGTGCAAATGTTTGAATGGGTTTGCCCACATGGAAAGTAAGCCTCTAGACTTTGTACCTATTTGTTCATCCCTACGTGTTGGTAGGGGCTGGGATATTTAATCTTTGGATGGGTGCTTGTGGGATGGGGTACTGAGCAGCAAGTTCCCATGTTTCCTGACTTGAGCCCTAATATTGGCTAATATTACAAAAGAAAAACAAGCTGCCAGGTGTTGCTCTGCTGCACAGCTCAGCATGGCCAGTGCAGCTTTTGGTGCAGGAGTGGCTGTGCCTGGCTCTGCTGCTCTCTGGGCTAGGGTGACAGCAGGCAGGGAGCAAAGTCTCGCTGTGCTCCATGCTGGGCATGGGGACAAGGAGGCAATAGCCACGGCAGAGTTTCCTCCTCTGTGGTGAGAAGTGATGGGTGCCTGGGCAGCGTGGCAGCAGAGGCAGGCAGGGAAATGGGCAGAGGCTTCCTGCACGGGGCTGTCATGGAGCTGCCAGTCCTGACCTGCACTTTGCTGGCAGAGCTGCATCAGCACCGTGTTTGAGCCGGGCCAGGAGGAAATGCTGCTGGGTTTGGAAGTGCAGGAGAGACATCATCAACAGTGATGTTTGCTGATCAGCTGCCAGCCAGGCCGATGGACCCAGCTTGCCTCTGAGAGAGCTCCTGGCTCTTCAGCAAGGTGATGTTGCCCACACTACATTTGCCACGGCAAATACAGCAGCAGTGCCTGCAAATGGTGCCAAATTTATGATACAAGGCTGGCTCCAGTGCCAGCATCCTGCAGGACCACCACATGCTACCTGTGCTGGACCTACCATCATCCCACAGGGAGCTGGGAACCAGTGGGGGGACCTACATGACACTGGAGGCCTCCCCAAATGGAACAGAGAGCAACAAGTCTCCAAGTCCAAACCTCAGCAGCTTTGAGCTGATGCTCAGGACTGTTACCTGATCTGGAATACCAGCACTGCACTGGATGTAGGTCACCTCCATGAGCTGTGATATAACGGGGTAGGTCTGGGCACCTCTGCATTTCAAACCCACAAACATTACCACACCTGGTTACTCCATGAGTGTGGGCTCTTGGGGTGCTGCTTCCTCGCTCTCCCTCATACCCCCAACCCAATTCTGCTACTGGCAGTGCTGATAGGAAGGAAGGTTTTAATGTAGTTTTCTGAAGCAGGAAAGAAGAGGATCTCACTGCCAGTTTTTTAGGAAGAGGCAGGAGCATGTAATGCTCAGTGTCATGACTAGCAATGTCTGTGGAACCTGTGCCCCCCAGCACCCTAACGTCCCATCAGGGACATCTTGCTGACAAGGAATTTGATCCTCAGTTCTCTTCCTCGGTTTTGGGAAATCTCAGCCTTTGTTCATACTTGGAAACTCCAGGTCATGAATCTGCCCCAGGCAAATTCTTACACCCCCCCTTGGCTTCTCATCTGCCCCAGGAGAGCAGTGAGAGCCAGGTGGGTCTGGGAATTCAGGTATCAGCACTGCAGTCCTGTTTGGTAACGTGTTATTGTGTCTCTGCTGGGTGAGTCACATCACAGAGCCTGCTGTGACCACAGCCCTGTAGGGATGTGTGTATGGTAGATCGTTTTTCCTACATCCCAAAAAAGATGGATGAAAGCCCAGATCCCAGCATGGCTGAGCCCTGAGGCAGTGGTGGGGCCTCTTGGCTGAGGATGTTTAGGGAAGATGGGGGGACAAATAAAGGAAAGAACCTCAAACTATTTAAAAGTGGGTGTTTAGGGGAAATAACTTCCTTGCAGAGGCTTACAAAGCCAGTGTCTCCTGATGAAGAGCACAGGAGGACCAGGCTCGGTGTGAAGCAGTGGCACAGGGACTGTCCCACTTGGTGGCCTCTCCCCAGCCTCATCCAGCCCCACTGCCTCACCAGGGCTCATCTCACGAGTGCCCACATTTCTCTTTCAGCCCTGGACTCCAGCTCCCTGCGGCTGTGCCGGGCAGAGGCACTGGTGGCACTGGGGCACTATCCACAGGCACTGGAGGACCTGGATGCCGTGTGCAGGGCTGAGCCTGGGGAGCACGAGGTGAGTGAAGGCCAGCCACATCCACTGGAGCCAAATCCTACTGCACAGGAGCAGTTTGCCCCTCTCCTCAATTCTCCATTGGATTCATCCTGCTCAGAAATGACTGACCCATTGGGTAGCCAGTCAAGGTGGCAGGAGCTGTGCTGCTCTCCCAGGAGAGGTCTGACACCATGTCCATCCTTCACTCCTTCTCCAGCTCTCCCTAGGCCTGGCTTTTGCAACTGCTGCACTTTGGAGAGTCCTGGGTTTTTTTGGCAGATCTAATCAGGGGAGCAGTGACAAGTCCGGGTGCTTTGGCTTGGGATGGGAGCAGGCAGGATGCAAAGGGACATTCCCTTGGGGTGGCAGAGGAGCTGAAGGGGCACATGCTCAGCTGGTCACTGTCTCATAGTCACTACATGTTTTTTCTGCTCTACAGGCTTTCTTCAAGAAAGGGAAGGTGCTTCTGGAGATGGGGCAGAGAGCTGAAGCCCTGCTGGCATGGGAACACTGCCTGACACTCAGTCCCCATTTCCAGCCAGCTCGGAGAGAGATGGAGAAGGTGTGTGGGCTCTGCCATGTTCTGTGCTCTCACATCACACAGGGACATGTCCTTGTCCTCTGAAGGACTCAACAGAGTGCTCAGCCAGCACAGATAACCTCCTGCAGCAAGAGGAAGGGTGCCTTGGGGAAAAAGAGGGAGCCTGGCAGCCCTCCTACCTCCTTGCTTTTTCCTCTTAGCATCCCTCACCCCTTGCTTTGTACTTGCAGATCATCATGGAAGCTGATGCTCCTCAGCCATGTGCAGCTGCACACCTGGGTGATGCTCACCTGAGCTCAGCTGGTTCCCAGGTCGATGGAGGGAGCCCAGTGCTCCCATCTTCCACACAAGCTCAGGTAAGAGCCTGCAATACCTGAGTCTGCAAGGAGACTTAATGTCCCACTGGGACATCCCAGTAGCCCAGTGATGAGAAAGGAGGTGTGACAATGGGAGGCTGTACAGGACATGTAGCTGTGCTTACCTGGTTGTGTGCTGGGATGGGAATCTGCAGGTAGTGGAGGGTGGGAGAGCAGGTACCATCAGGGCTGATGCTATGGGGACTCAGGAAACAGAGGAGACTTTCTCTCTCTGTTCATCTCACTACATTCAGGGAAAAAAAAAAAAGAAAAAAAAAGAAGTGAGTTAAATTTTTTTAATCTAAAAACACATTTGAGAATAGTTCAGACCATTAGCAGCTGTTAAGGGAAACTTGTATTTTCCTCTTTGCCTTCTATAAACAAACTTAGAAGATCTGCAGAGAAGAGGGAATTCAAAAAATGGGTTCAGATATACCCAAATATGGTTGGTATGTCTAGACAGAATGAACCCATGCTTTAACCATGTGATGGGCAGCAATGTCTGAAGGCCACTCTCCTGCTGTCCTGCAGATGCAAGGTGTTAATGTACAGCACACACCAGGAAACGTCCTGGTGCCATCGGGCTTGGTGGGACAGATGGGACTGTGCATTCAGAGGGAGAAGAGGGTTTGGGTTCAATTTCATCTTGCTGTGCCTAGGGTCAGGAGGGAGAGCTGGCAGATGGCCGAGGGGATGCTGAGTCTGAGCACAGCCAGGACACAGCCACCCTTTCCCAGCCGGGACAACGGCAGGAACCGGAGACTTGGGCAGAGAGTCAGGGCCAGTGGAGTGACATCAAAGGTACCACAAAGTTGTGTCATACAAGATACTTGTTTGAAATCCATTTTGGCACTGAAAACTTGATGTTTGCACTGTGTCCAGCTCAACTAACAAATATCCCAGGGGCACATGATGGGGCAGCTCTGGCCAGGACATTGGCTGCTTCTCATGCATGGGAGGAGGATCCACCTGATCTTCCTGTGTTGAGCTGGTGAACACACACCAAACCTTTGGCTCCAGCTTGGTGACAAGTTCTTACTAAAGCCAGCCATCCATTGTTCCCTGTGTGGAGTCAGGGAGAGGCTTTCTTTGGCTCCCATGGGTTTAGATGGGTTTTGGTTTAGATTAAATTTCCATGCAGGGGACAGGACATGCCATGAGCTGGGGAAGCAGCACCTCCATCAGCATTAACTGGTCATCAGTGTCCAGCCAGGTGGCTGCCACATACCTGGGTTTGCATAAAGCTTATGGCAGGTCTCCTGAGACTTCCATCTTGGAGCTTTTTGGGACACTTTGCTGCCCAGTGCCTTAGTTTCCCTGCCTGCAAAAGGAGGAGATATCACCTTCCTCTGCCAAGAACCCTGAGACCCAGTGACACATGAGCTATGGATGAACATAGATGGGTTAATAGAGGGATTTATGTTGCATTTCCTAGTGGTTCTGTTTTTCTTTGACACTCCCAAAGCACTTTGTGAGGCAGTTATGCCTCAGAACAAGGTCAGAAAGCAAAGATTAATTTTCTGTATTGAAATGGGGGATTGTCTTCTCTTTTACCTCTAGGTAACAAGGAGGAAACAGCAGCAAAGTGTACCCAGCCATGCCTTGGGGAGTCACTGAGCATATCTGACTTGGAGTGCTCCCTCTGCATACGGTGAGTTGTCCTGCAGGAGAGCTTTTAGGATGACGAATTGGCACCTGATGGGTTTTTTTTAATGGTGTGCATCTTTCTTCACATCTTAATACAAGCTCAGTCCTGAGAACTGCTGAGATGTAGGTTTCAGTACAGATAAGAGGGGAAGGCAGGGCCACGGGACACCCTGCCAGGCTGCAGGAGCTGAGATCACCCTGTCTCAGGGTTCAGCATCACTGGGGCTGTATCTCTTGGGACAGAGATGTGGAGGTGGGAGTGTTCAGTGGGGTCCAAGACCAAAAGCAGTGGTTGCCCTTTGTACCTGCAGGCTGGAAGAGGAAGGTGTTGCCCAGGGAAATTCCCTCCATGATGGGGATATTGCAGACCTAGAGGGGAGCATTTCTGAGCTCTTTGCCTGGTGCAGGTGGAAGAGGGAACGGGGTAGAGCCTTTGTTTGTCTGCTGGCTCAGGGCTGGGGAGAGACTGCCACAGGGCATCCTGGAACCAGGCTGTTATTCCTGGTGTGTCCCAGACGTGGAGCAGTTGTGCAAGCGGCTGCTGGCAGACAGCTGGGTGGGTGTTGCACTGCCAGATGTGCAAGTCGGTCAAGGTCCTGCATGGCAGCTTTTTCCAGGTCTGTGCATAGCGGAGAGAGATTGAGGCTGCATCTGATCTGAATTACATGAATTTGGATCTCTTCTGAAAGAAGAAAACAGTATTTAGGAGGAGTCAGGGCTTTCTCGAGACCTTAATTTAATTTCTGATCCTGGAGCTACCTGTGAGCAACTGAATACTTGCTGCTGGCTCTGCTCCTGAAGCAGGGGAGAAGGAGGAACTTTCGTCTCACTGCCCTTTGGATTACACACCAGGCTGTGGTCTGGGTAACCACAGCCCTGGCAGGACCAAGGGGTGCCATGTGTGTACTGATGGACTCTGCTGGGACTCCATGGAGACCCTGTGGAGCTCAGGCCTGGAACAGTTCTCATCTTACATTGTGCAAGCCCAGCAGCCTGAGCCCAGACTTGCTAATTAAAGTCTCTCTCTGCCAGACTTATCTGTGCTCCTTTCCCTTTGTTGCTCTCTGCAATCCACTGACTCTGATCATCCTTTGCAGGATGTTCTTTGAGCCGGTGACGACGCCCTGTGGTCACACCTTCTGCAAGGAGTGCCTCGAACGCTGCCTGGACCACCGGCCCAACTGCCCCCTCTGCAAACACAGCCTGAGAGAGGTGAGGGCACCAGTCCCACAGGATGGAGCCCGAGGGAGAGCTGGGAACCAGCTCCAGCTGCTGGCTGCGTGCCCAGGGCTGGGGTGGGAAGGTGCACTGCTCTTATATTAGCAGCTCCCTGGTGCGGTGGTGTCAGCTCCACTCACATGGGAATGACCAGACAGTTGATAATTAAGACCAAGAGATTCATTTCCACAAGATGCCACAGTGATTTAGTGAGATTGTAAACAGGAGAAGAGAGAGAGAGGGAGAGAAGCAAATGCTAATTACTTTTAAAAATGGAAATGGATGGAAAACCTGCTAGCCTGGAGATTTGATTTAATCTTTAATGAAAAGGGATTCGGATGAGACCATCAGGGAAATTAGGTTGTCATACAAGGACTGCATCACTGTCAGGGACAGGACGCTGTGTTGGACGGGCCCTGGCTCTGAGCTGTGTCTGGAGGTCTCGGTGGAGCTGACATCCCATCCTGCTTGATGGCTCAACATCCCCTGATAGGTTTTATCCTTGACTTTCTCTGGTCTAAAATTACCTTCAGTTCCAATAAAAGTGAGCGTGATTCAGAGTCAAGCGGGGCCTCAGGGCTTCCTCCCTGCTCTTCTCCAACCTATTTTTGGGTCCAATTCCTTTCAGTTCCTGAAGGCTGGGAGGTACAGCCCCACAGTGCTGCTGCAGGACATCATGCTGGCCATCTTCCCCACACAGCTGGCTGAGCGCCGGGAGCTGCACCGGGCAGAGATGGCAGAGCTCTCCAAGTAAGCAGGGACTGCTCCTGTGTGTGTGTGTGTGTGTGTGTGTGTGTGCACATGGGGACTGGAAGGGGCTCTGAGAGGGATGTCCACACCCCATAACATTGCTCTGGCTTAGTTCTGCTCAACTGATGCCTGTCACACCTTCAGGACCACACTGCAGCAGTGCTGTGTGGATGGGGACATGCCCCATGAGGCACCTGGGGATGAGGGATCATCTTTGCAAGAAACTGGTTTGTGGGCAGAATCTGTCCTTGGTCTCTTGATGAGCCAAATGGAAGCTTTACAGAATTCACAGAATCCACAGAATTCTCAGAATGACTTGGTTGGAAGAGACCTTCAAGATCATCGAGTCCAACCCAAGCCCTGACACCTCAACTAAACCATGGCACCGAGTGCCACATCCAGTCTTTTTTTAAACACATCCAGGGATGGTGACTGCAACACCTCCCTGGGCAGACCATTCCAGTACTTTATTACTCTTTCAGTGGAAAACTTTTTCCTAATATCCAACCTAATTTTCCCTTGACACAGCTTGAGACTGTGTCCTCTCATTCTCTTTAGTGTTGCTCTGATCTGGAGCATCACTTCTTGTAGTTAAGGACACACCTGGTTTGATGGAGCAGCTGATGCAGAGCCATTGGGATGGGATTTGCTTGGAGAGGTGTTACAATTGTTTCTCCTGTCCCTCAGCCTGACCAAGAACATCCCCATCTTCGTGTGCACCATGTCCTTCCCTGGCATCCCCTGCCCTCTGCACGTCTTCGAGCCTCGGTACCGCCTGATGATCCGGCGGTGCCAGGAGAGCGGCACCAGGAGGTTTGGCATGTGCATATATGAGAATGGGAAAAGGTGAGCTCCTGGGCAAGCTTCCCCCTGCCCCAGATGATTTGTCCCCTCTCTGCCCAGCCCCAAATGTCTGAAATACTGAGTAGTTCGGAGAGATTTCCTATCAGTGCTGTCCCACAGCAGGGAGGTGGTGCTTTCCCCACAGTGCAGAGTGAAATGGGAACAAGGAATGAGGCCAGCACGGGAGCTGTGGTGGCTGTCAAATACAAAACAATACAATCCTTGGAACAGCTTCTAACTCAGCATGTCTATGAGCTCCATGGTTCTTTGGCTGTGACCTTCAGCTCCTCTTAGTGAGCACTGGGAGGACACTTGATTGAATCACTCAATTTGCCCCCACCCAGACATCCTTTTCCTGGGCCTTTCCCTGCTTTGGAGATGGTACATTTAGGAGAAGCAGCTCTCTCGCCACTCATTAGCCCAGCTCAGCCCTGTTCTCTGTCCCTGTGTCCCTGCAGCTTTGCTGACTATGGCTGCATGCTGGAGATCCGTCAGGTGGAGCTGCTGGCAGACGGGAGGTCCCTGGTGGACACCATCGGCCGGCAGCGGTTCCGGGTGCTGAGCCGCGGCCACAGGGACGGCTACCACACTGCTGACATCGAGTACCTGGAGGACAAGAAGGTGAGGGCAGGGCTGGGCAGGATGCTGGGCTGCAGAGGGGCAGATCCTCCCTACAGACACCTGTGTCCCCCTTGTGTGTGTTCAGGTGTCTGGGGAGGAGCTGCAGGAGCTGCAGTCCCTGCACGAGAGCACCTATCGCCTGGCCCAGCGCTTCTGTGAGCACGGAGACCTCACCTCCAGACACATCCTGATGCAGCATGGACCACTGCCTGAGAAGGAAGAGGACATCCAGGTAATGCCCAGAGGGGAGGGATGCACCAAGAGAGCCACTGTTCCTGCACTAACCACCCTGCTTCCCTACTCGGCTTCCCCCCAGGATGAGCAAAGCAAATCCGGTTTTTCACCCCTGTTACAGCATCTCTCACTCAGAGAGTTGGTAGGTCTTGTCTTGTAAAACTGGTTGATGTTTCTTTATGGTTTTAAACTGAGCACTGAGTTATAAAACCTTTCCTAGAGTCCTTTCCTAAATGAGAACTGAGAAACTGAACTGTATGTGTTTGAAAACACTTTGGGAAAAAGAAACCAAACGAATTGGCAAAGAGGCAAACCCTGCAGCTCATTGAGTCTGCAGTCTCCCTTCTCACTGTGATCCTTGTGAGACAGCCATAGCTGGGCAGAGGTGAAGAGCTAAAAGGACAGGATCCCATTTGCTTATTATACTGCTCTGATAAATTCAGATCTAGGAGAAAAAAAATCCCAAAATTTAATTTTCACTCCTTTAAGAAAGTGTTTCCTCTCTAGATCGTTACAAATATACTCTTGCTGGCTTGTCCCAGGCTAAGGCTGTCCTGGCCAGCAGTCACATTAATGGTGTGCTCAGAAATTACAAAACAAATCACTCTCCTTCAGCTGAATCGAGCTTTTCCTTCTTAGTTTGGCTCAGGTTATAAAAAAATCCACTTTACAAAAGCAGTGCCCAAACAGCTGTGCCTGCCTGGCCTGCACGTCACATCTTCAAGTGATGGCCAATGTCCCAAAAACATAGACCATGCAGGATTTGGCCTGTGTTTACTAAAAGCACTGGCTTAAACAGGGAAATGTTTAAACAGGGAAACAAGTTGTTTCATTGTCTCTTTAGTATAGACTTTTTAGCAGCTACATCTGCGTCTGGAGGCTCCCTGGGGAATGCTTGTCTGGAAATTAAATTAGTTTGTCCAGGAGTTTTGAGCTTGGATGACAAAAGGGCTGTTCAGATGAGTACTTTGGCCGAAGCTGTCCTGACAGGAACAACAATTTCCATCAGCGATGCTGCCTGAAGGCCACCCCTGCATCTCCTGACGTGGGGGGGTCTGTCCCTCTCTCCTCTCCAGGCTTCAGCAGACGGCCCGACGTGGTGCTGGTGGCTCATCTCCATCCTGCCGCTGGACCCCTCGTACCAGCTGAACCTGTTGTGCTGCACGTCCCTGCGCTCCCGGCTGTGGCAGCTGCAGCACGTCCTGACAGCGCTGCTGCAGCAGCCCCCGCCCCGCCACCTCCTGCCCGAGCGCAGCCCCCGCGCCCGCGTCTGACCATGGCCTCCCCCCTGCCTTTCTCTGTGTGCTGCTCCACGGTCTGTGTGTGCTTTGAGCCCCCCTATCAATCCCCAAAAAAAGTGACCTCAGCGATGAGCTGTGCCCAGCTGTGCCCAGCTGTGCTGGCGGTGACGCTGCGCCGTCCGTGCCACCTCTGGGAGTGCTCGGTGCCGCTGCTGCTGTGCTGTGCCACCAAAGGGACACAAAGGGACTGGGCTGCACAGCTGGCTTGTGTCTCCACAGCCAGGATCACTTGCTGAGGGGCTTCTGCACTGAGGAAGGCTCTCCTTAGGGCAGAGGACTGAGTGCAGGGGTTGACTCAGTTTTGGTTCTTCCACTTTGAAAGACAGCTTAGGGGTTTTGGCAGATGATCCTAATTCACACAGGAAATTTAGAGGTTGGGGAGAAGTGGCATTTGGGGAAGCAGAGAAGTTCCAATGGCTTCCCCCAGCCTTGGGAGCTGACAGCTCTGCCACTGTTTACAGCTTTGACTTAGTTTGTGTTTGAACCAGAAGAAAGGCTAAATTAAACAATCTGAAACTCTTTGTCTTGCTCCTAACCACCTCCATGGCCACATGGTGAGGAGATGGCTCTTTTTGAATGCTCTCAGGTCCAGACATCCCCTTCCCACTGCTCTGCTCGGTGCTGTGCTGTGTTTGCTCAGCAGACCCTTCCCCAGGACACTGCCAGCCACTCCCCTCACTGCCACCTCCAAAGCTGTGAAGTGCCGTGGGAGAGGGGATTTTGTCAGCTTTGGTGCTTTTCCCCCTACCCAAAGGCTGCTGTTCCCAGCCCTGGCTGGGTTCAGGTTACAGGGTCAGAACTGGAGGCTGGAAGGAGCTGATAACACAAGGGAGTTAAGTCTGGAAGTTTTGTTGTGAGACTTTCTGCTCCTTGACTAATGCAATTTTCCCCTGTTCTGTGCTTCTTGTGAACTTTCTGCCCCCTCAGGAAAAAATCAGAATCTCAGCCGAGGCTGGCCCCTTGCACTTGGGACCCAGAATAGTTCAGGATCTCCCAAAAGAGCATAGTGAAGTCAAAGGGATCCAAATATCTGGAGAGGCAGGGAGGGGTAGGATCAGTGACCGAGGCCATGAGCCACATGTCAGGGGAGCAAGTCTGCTTGCCTCTAGACACAGGGCAAAGACTCTCTGGACATACCAGGCCTCTATGGAAATCCTGAAGATTTGGGATTTTTATCTTTCATCCCTAATTTCAGTGGCTTTGGGTTCAATTCTAGGAGTGACATCCACTTAGTCGTTGGATTAGACATCGCTTCTGGAATTTTATCCTGGCATTTCTCAAAGGCTCCACACCCCCTCAGAGAGCTGTTGGATGTGTGTGTGGGAGAGAAAATCAGGGCAGTGATCCTTACTGCATGTGTGGCTGGGCAGAGTCTGGGGTGGGAGACTGGGCATAGCTCCAGAGAGGTCTCTGCTCAGGGCCACCACCTTTCCCTGTCCTTCAGTCTCCAGGAGTGAGAAGTCCCTGTCCCTCCTCTCCATCAAAGTGCCTCCCTGGGGCGACAGTCAGGAGCTGAGGGCTTGCTCCCCAGGAACCTCTGCCAGCACAGGGCAGCTGAGGACAGCTCAGGGCTGGATTTGCTCCTCTACCTTTGAGCCACGGTGCTGGCCCAGGAGCACCACGACTCCCAAGGAGCCATACCCCTGGATGTCAGATTGGCATGGGCTGGGCTGGGTGATGAAGGATGCTTTGCAGTCCCAGGGCAGGTGACAGGATGACACTGCAGTTTGGGAAGTGCCTTTCTTTTCCCCGGGGTCAATGTGGGCTCACCCAGTGACATCCCCACCCCAAGCTACTCACCCACCCCCTGAGCTGCTGTTTCCCCAGGGTTGAGAGGTCCCTGTGGGTCCCTCCAGCAAGGGATTGGCATGGGGGGGATGTCACACTGGGGAGGAGCCAGGGACCAGAGCCAGCAGTGCCTGGCTGCTTTGGGAAGGGATCTGTGCAAATTGCTCCAGTTTGCTTGGAGCACCTGTGTGGTTTTTATTACTATCTTTGCTCTTGGAATTACATTTTCTTTCAGGTCATTGAAATAAAGACCTTTGTTGTTGTTGTTGTTTTGTTGCTGGTGTTTAACTTTTAGCTGCTCATTAATAAAAATGCTTGGGCATCCCCTGGGAGATTTGGGGACATGTGGAAAGGTGACGCCCTGGCCTTCAGACAGAAAGGTAGGCACAGTGACCACGGTCCAGCAAGGGCAGATGGCAACAAGGGGAAGAAAAAAAGTGGTTTTGTTCACAAAGTGTGTGTGAAACAAGACAAGAGGGATGAGCTCCTGCCTGTCAGTGCAGCTAAAGGCTTTGGGAAAGGATGGGATGGGAGATCAGTCCAGTAGAGATGCTGACCAGTGTGGGGTGACTGTGGTCAGCATCTGTCCCTGTCCTGCCTTTGCAGCCATGGGCAGAGGGCTGTGAGCAGGTTCGCTTTTAGCAGCTGGCATTAGGGATGAGAGATCCAGGGAGATGTGCATGGGGTCTAAAATGAGAGGGTGGTCCTGGATGGAAGGTGATGTCCTGCTGGGACAGCTCTCACCTGTCCTAGCTCCCATCTTGCCTCTTCCCTCTGCTTCCCAAAGGTTCCATCCAGAACCAAGGGCAAGAAGGGAACTGCCCAGCTGTGCTGTCACCATTCTTGGGAACATGGAACAGCTGCAGCAGAGACAGGGCTCAAGTGGTCTGAGATGGCAGAAACCCTAAACAGATCCCATGCTCAGAGCAGTGTCCCTGCTATCCCATTATTAACTGCCTTCCACGAGGAATTACACCTTGAATTCCTCCCTAGCAATGCCCTACTGTGATGGGTTGACTTGGGAAGAAGAAATTTAGAGAGAAGCAGCTATGCCCTGATGTGCCCTGATGAAGCCCAGCTGTGAGCTGTGGCTGGTGCCAGCCCTTTTGGTGGCTCCGGGAGCCCAGGCCTTGTGCCTGACCTGTGGCTGGTGAGTGCCTGGCAGTCTGGAGCTGACGAGGATCCCTTTGCCGTGTTGCCCTGCTCCCACTAGATGTCAGGAAGAGGCTGAGTGCGGGCAAGGAGGAAGGCACAGCAGAAGGGATGTGCAGCATCGACTATTGCCAGAGCCTTGATTTTTGTCTCCCTCAGCCCCAAAATCAGCCCTACTCCCAGCCTTGGCCCCAGCTGGGCTGCCCTGAGCTCTCCATCAGCACAGGAGAGCTGGGGACCTGTGCAGGTCACTTTGAGTCCACCTCCAGCTCCCCCAGCATGCAAGGTCTGTGCTGCAGGCTCCTGTCCCTACTCCAGCCTGTTTGCTTTCCTGGGACTAGAGCAGGACATTGGGGCATTTGGGGGTGTCCTGCTCCCCATCATCAGTGCCCAGGCAGAAAGGGACCTGGGGGTACTTGTGAACAGCCAGCTGAACATGAGCCAGCAGTGTGCCCTGGGAGGCCAGTGGCCCCTGGCCTGGATCAGGAATAGTGTGGCCAGCAGGAGCAGGGGGGTCATTGTTCCCCTGTACCTGGCACTGGTGAGGCCACACCTTGAGTGCTGTGTCCAGTTCTGTCCCCTCAGTTCAGGGAGGACGTTGAGACACTTGAGTGCGTCCAGAGGAGAGCAACAAGGCTGGTGAGGGGCTTGGAACACAAACCCTGTGAGGAATGGCTGAGGGAGCTGGGGTTGTTTAACCTGGGGAAAAGGAAAGTCAGAGGTGACCTTACCACTCTCTGCAACTTCCTGAAAGGTGGTTGTAGCCAGGTGGGGTTGGTCTCTTTCACCAGGCAACAACTGACAGAACCAGAGGACACAGTCTTAGCTCTGCCAAGGGAAATAGAGGTTGGATATTAGGAAAAAGTTTTTTATAGAAAGAGTGATGAAGCACTGGAATTGTCTGCCCGGGGAGGTGGTGGAGTCACCATCCCTGGATGTGTTTAAAAAAAGATTGGATGTGGCACTTGGTGCTATGATTTAGTTGAGGTGTTAGGGCATGGGTTGGTCTCAATGATCTTGAGGGTCTCTTCCAACCCAGTGATTGTGTAATTGTGTAATTGTGTAATTGTGTAATTGTGTAATTGTGTAATTGTGTGATTCTGTGATCTTCCAGCCATGCTGCTGGGCACAGCCTCAGCTCAGAGGTGGGAGGTGAAGCAGCCCCTTGTTCCAGCACACAGCTGGGACAGAACAGCATCCCATAGCCTCTCCTGGAGGCAGCCCAGGCATCTCTGAGCCCCACTGGCATGACCAGTTCTTTCACTGAGCAGTTGGGATGGGTTAGCAAAGACCTGGCAATTCCTATGCTGCCTCCCTCCCAACCTTGCCACAAATGTCTGTGTGGCTGAGGGGACTGCCTGTGACAGCCTCAGCCCCACCAGCAGGCAGAGCCAGGGGTCGATGGCTCTGTCTCTGTGTGGGCTCCTCAGGGGCACTCAGGGCCCAGGAGGAACCAGGCACCTGGACCTGCAGCACAGGAGGTCCTGACTGCCATGCCACTGTGATTTACCTGCTACCTGAGGAGCTGAATTCCTCCCCTGTGCATCCCAACAACACCTAGCAATGATTTCGGGCCTTTATGTAACACCACCCTGGGTTTTACAGGCAGGAATTGGGGTGGGAAGAGGAAATGTCACCCAACAAGGTCCCTGGTAGTCACCCTCCAAATGGGGACTCTCCTCTTCCCACCCCATCCAGCCTCCCTCTGTGGATGCTGGGATGTATCCTGCACCTATTTTTATATCTGTGGGGAGATATAAACCAGTGCTAGCACTGGCCCCACTTCCATCACCCCAAAATGTGACCTCGTCCCCAACAGCACCATTTCCTCCCTTCCTGTTTGACACCTTCAAATCGAGACATGGGTGACAACTTCCCTCACCTAACAGTGTGGGCAGGCAATTAGATAAAGAGGTAAATAATTAATACAGCAGGTGTCAGACTGTGCCTCATCTTTCTTTAACAAATGGTGCATTTCCAAACTAATTAGACCAGCCGGTACTTGAGAGAGTGGAAAATCAACACAAGATTGTTCGAGCTAAGATTTTCTTCTCTAGCAATGCTACATTCGTGCTGGAAGAGGAGCACAGTACATGTTAAAGTTAATGAAGGTGGGAAGAAAAAGGAAAAAAACAGCACCTAATTTTTTCCACCCTTTAGCAATACCAGTTGGTGCAATGAAAGACGGGTCGTATTGTTCCTGCTTTTTCAGAAGGAAAAAAAAGCAAAGGAAAGCAATGAAGACAGATGTGCTGTCTCTTTCAAGAAACTCACCCACGGGATGTATTCAAAGCTGGAAAATGACAAGTGATGAGAAAAAAAAGTGACTCAAAGTCACTGCTGAAGCAGTTGGAGTGGGACCTGTCTATTCACCTGGAGAAACATCGAATATCCTTAGTTAGGATCCACGAGGAACATCGAGTCCAGCTCCTATCCCTGCACAGGACAACCTCAAAAATCACACCATGACAATGTTTGGGATGTCGTGATGGTGCTACCCCTTCCTCTGGCCAGGCTGCATGAGAGGGTGAAATCCCCCCCTGTGCTGTACAGAGCAGTGCGAAGGTGTGAAGGTGACCCA